TTTTTAGAGACCCTCACATTCTCATTCTTTTAAAATATTTTTTAATTAGAAACTGTATTTAAAAATTCTTTTTTAAAATTTGACTGAAAATTTAAAAATTATATTAGTTTTTCATTCAATCATCCCAGTTACCATTCCAGTAGGCTCATATTTTACAAATTCGAGACCATTCCATTATCACTGTATTAGCCCTGCTGCACCTTATTTGTAGAAGTTTGAAGTTCTGTTCTAAAATCTTTGCATCAGTGTCCAAATCAGTCGGAGCCAGGCGGGCACTCATGTACCACTAGAGGGTAGCAGAGTCCGGAGAACAAGTGGGAAACACACCAAGCATTAAATGGCTGATCAGAGACCTGAAGGAGACAAGATAACTATTTATTGGAACCATTTACAAGCCAGACATTTGTCCTGGACACAGCGAGGAATTATTTAAAGTTCAGACGCCAGAGCCAACAAAGGAAAGGAGCAGAATGAAGAGGCAGTTCTTCAGGTCAGCTAGGAAATGCCCAAAGTCAGGACACGAAGCCAAGTACAAAGACCACGCCAGAAAGAAAAGCCATGGCCGTGGGTCCTGTTCTAAGTGGAGCTTACTGACCAAGGCTGGAAGCACAAGTGAGGCAAATTTCTATGTCCACTCTTGGTCAGCCACCCTGCAGTTTCTTTTCTTTTTAGATACTCTCACCAAAATAGAGCCTTTCACCTAGTGTTTTATGTCTTCATTCCTTGTAAGGAGGCGTGATTGATCTGTGGTTAGTGCACCTGACTGCTAGGTGGGGAGTTCACATGCTCCGAAGCAGAAAGTTGTGACAGTGGACAGATCACAGCCTAGGAAAGCCCTGTGAGTCTCTTCTACTCTGTCCCGCAGGTTCGCTATGACTGGACATCCGTTTGATAGCAGGGAGTTTGAATTTCTTTCCTTAAAGAACAAGTACATTCAGGAGTGTCTGTTTTTGGCTTCCCCCTCATTCCCTTCGCTAGCTGTACGGGGATTGTATGGTACAATACCTCACTTCCTTTGGCAGTTAACCTTGGACTCTTCCAGGGAATGTCTCCTACATTTTCTGCTGAAGTTCCCCAAGGCCACCAGGTGATTGATTACTCAGGTGGGGGTTGACTGATGAGTGCTAGACAGACTGAAGTAAAATTCCTGGGGATGCTTCTCTCTGCTGTGTAAACACAGGACATGACTCACTTTGAATGGCCTCCCCTACTAGACAGGGTCCCCCTTTCTTTAAGAATCTTAACTCCACTGCAGTGCTGATTCCGACCAAGCAGAGAGCTCTGGGGCCACCTGCCAACTGGTCAGCTTCTTTTTCATGAAGAGATTAGCTTGGTTTTATGTGGTGGGGTTTGGGTTTTCTTTGTTGTTGTGGTTTTTTTTTTTTAAATTATTTTGTTATTTTAGGTGTGTGTACTGTCAAGTCATATCTGACTGGTATAGGAGGAGGCTGTTCCTCCTTCTCCATCAGAGCATGTGGTGGATTCGAACCGCGTACCTCTGGGATTACAGTGCAGCTTCTTGCCACTAGGCCACCAGAGCTCCCTCATGGTTTGTTTTTTGTTTTTTTCTTTAGCACCTCTCCCTAATGAGATTTTTATTACTACCAACTTTTTATTGTAAATGAGTGAAAGTTCACAGAGCAAATTGGTTTTTCCATCCCACCATTCATACACATTATATTTTGTGACATCAGCGACAACTCCCATGTTGTAAAGTGCTCTTCCCACTTCCCCCAGTGGTTCCCAGTGCCTTTCATGTCCTTTCCAAGCCCTCCCTGCCCTCTGAACTTTGTCCATAGGGAAATGCTGCCCTCTTGATCTTCTCTGGTTGATTGTTCTAGGGAGTATGTGTGTGTGTGTGTCCCTCTTGGGTATTCTTGATCTCTTTATAGACTTGTTTGGCTGAAAACTGAGTCAAAGGGTGATGATTTTAGATCCAAGCTTAAAAGAGTCAATAAAAGCTGTCATCTTAGGGGTTCTACCAGTCTCTATCAGACCACTGAGCCTAATTTTTTTTAAAAGTGAATTTTCGTTTTGTCCCACATTTTGCTCCCACTCTCTCAGGGACCTTCTATGTTATTATATGCTGTCAGTTGGAACTGACTCAGAGTTGGCCCTCCAGTGGGCTTCCACAGGGTATAAAGAGAATGGGAGGAGATTGCCCATCTTTCTTCCATGGAGAAGCCAGCGGATTTGAACGCCTTTCAGATGGCAATGCAACCCCTTATCTCTAAGCCACCAGAGATCTCTCCTCCCACAATGTCAGGAAGCTTCTATAGCAATCAGTTCCTCTTTGGTCGGCAATAATAGCAGGCACCATCTAGTTCTTCTGGTCTCATGGTCATGGCAGTTAGGGGTTATGTGTTCCATCAGTCTCCGTTGGACTATCTTTGTGCATCTTTTATTTTCTTCACTCTTCTTTGCTCTGAATGGAGATCGAGACCTTAGATGATCTCTCAGAAAGATTTTGTTGTTTTTTAAATCTCTTCATTCTTCTTAACCTTGTTTTTGGTGCATGCTCAGAACTTGTCTGTTTGCTCCTCTGTCTCCTTCCCCTTCTACTTGGGTGTGACACTGGAATCAGACTTCCAGCGCCTTTTGGTAAACATCAACTGTGCTTTCTATTGCTGGAATGGCCACATTCCAGAGAAGGTGCCAGGCACTGGGTTGATGGGTGCCTCCAAGAGGTCTAAAGTCACACCCTTGGGTGCTAAAGCTGGGGAGGCAGCAGCCAAGGGATTCGCAGATTCCAGAGCCCACCCAGATTCCCAGATTCCAGACCTAGAGAGTTGGACTCTTAAGTGTGAGAGCATGAGCCCACACTGCCAGGTTGTTCTGATGTTGTTAGTTGTTGGTGTCAGGTGTCATTGGTGCAGTTGATTCTCCAGTGAGTTTCCAGAAGCTGTAAATCACACAAGAGGAGATTGCCTGTCTTCTTCCCTTAGAGAAGCTGGTGGATCCAAACTGCCTGCCACTGAGTTGGCAGGCAACTCCTTTCCACTGGGTCACCAGAGCTCCCCGGTTCTGAAGTGGGGCCTTCAAATTTGTGGTTGTTTTAGAAACGCCCTAACCTGTGGTGGCTCCATGCATGACAGAATCACATCCTGCCTGTCCCTGGTACCAGCTGGGGATCTGATTGTTGAATCTGTAGGACTGCGCCTGGCTGATCGGAAGTGGATTGCCAGGTCTTTCTTCCTAAGTCTATTGGAAGCACTGCTGAAACCTGTTCCCCTGTTCCGTATCTAAGCAATATGCAAGCCTCAACTGACGGATGGGTGATGCTTATGTCGGAGGAGCACTGGCTGGGAATGGAACCCAGGTTTCTCAGTTGGAAGGTGGGAATTCTACCACCAAAGTCCTGCTGCTCCTGAGAAGCTGCTTCACTCAAACCTTGCTGGCCTTGAAGTCCTGGTCTCACTGCACACAACTCAGACTGCAGCCTCTCTGTCAGGAAAGCCAAGTGAAGTCAAAGTTGGGGCTCATATGACCCAGAAGAGAGCCCTTCCCAGTGGTCCACTAAGGGTGTTAGTGGGGGCTACTAATGGGACCCCCAGGGGTTAATGTAATAGAGGCTGTTGTCTGCAGCAAATGTAAAAATGAGTAAAACGGATGAAGACCGGATAAGCTTGTTCTCATGGGCTGCCCCAGCAACTTTACAGGACATCAGTGATAACGCCCTGACCCCCGTTCAGTGACCACCGCCCACCCCTTCCCTCGGCCCTCCCCAAGTCATGACGCCACGAGGCAGCAACTCATCTTTGTTCATTTCTTTTCAGTGTTTTATTTTTCAAAATATACAATTTATTTACATCTTTATTTCACAACTAGTTTTTTTATATTTATTCCAAAATCTTTAAATAGCTCTGCAGTAAACATGACAGATAACAGAATCAGACTGTTTCTCTTCAGTCTTTACACTCATTGAGTTTGTTGTGTTTGCTTTATTTTTTTTTGTTGTTTTTAGAAGTTTCAAGTAGTAACTGTCGGTGGGTGAGAAAGGGGACAAGAGTATGGCAAAGCGACCTTTTTATTCAGGACCAGCACTTCGGATTAGAGGGGACCTGACCAGGTGCTCTGCCTGGGACCAGGCAAACACCTGCCTACATTTATAAATAAGACCCTCTGTGTGCAGAGAGGGGTTTGGTTATTAGGACTAAGGGGCGGGACCTCATCTGCAGGGTCTGGGGTTGCAGGAGAGAGAAGGCAGGGCGATAAGGCACCAAGTGAGACGTTTTGCCAGCTCAAGGAGGCACTTGCATGAGGGAGAGGGTGGTCCTGAGTGAGGAAGCAGGGAGCCGCGTGTGCCAGGTGGAGGCCAGGAATGACCATGGGACCCCTGGGAGGAGAGGCCTCTTCACCTCTCTCAGGGAGAAATTTTTTGATTCTGGCTGAAGCAGCTGATGATTCCTGAAGAAAGGGGCCCCCGGGCTCCTACAGCCTCCAGGTCAACACCCAGGGCTCTCGGCCACCTGCAACGTCGGGTGAGGCCAGGGTGGGGCTGGGTGCATTGAGAAGGCACCTGGCAGTGCAGCTGGCACGCAGGATCTGGGGGTGCCCTGAGGCATCATCCTGTCTCTTCTTGTGAAAGGCCTTCATCCACCTCAGGTTGTTCCCGTCCTCCAGAAGATGGGACGGCGGGGCCTCGGCTGTTGCTGTGAACACTGGCAGTGCCAATGCATAGAGCACGTGGGGCGCAGGCCTGGCCCTAGGGGTCAGCGTCCTTCATTCCCCTTAGGGTGGCAGTGGTTGGCCAGGCCTGTGGGTGTGCAGGATGTCCCAGGAAAGACCCATCTGGACCCCCCAGGATCCATGTGTCTGCCACCAAGAACACACGACTGTCCTCTGGTGGGTCAGGAGGTGGAGGTCAGCGGTCCCTCAGGGACTCCCCAGCACCCAGCACCCTCCACCAGGCCTGCGCTGCCTGGCCTGGCCGACCTTCTGAGCAGGGGCGGGGTGGGGGTGTGAACTAGCTCAAGTGGGGATGGGCTGGCTGGGCGTGGTCACTGCATCTTCGGGTGGGGCTCCTCGGGAATGAGGGTGTTGAAAAAATAATCCCACAATTTCGTGCTGATGCCAAATCCTAGAGAAGAAGACAAATGGACTGGAGGTAAAGGCCAGGGTAGTGTCAGGGGAGGAGGGACACATTTCCTGGGGAAAGACCCAGGGTGAAGTGAGCAGGCAGTGCCCATTTCAGTACCTGTCTCCACTGGCAGGAGCTGAGGAGCGAGCACGTAGGTGTCTGGTCTGTTAGGGACAAACTTTGAAGGAACCCATGTTCCCAATCTTCCTGAGGTCTGAGGCTGCCCCTCACTCCTCCTCCTCACTCTACAGCTTCTTCCTTCATTTCTGCCCCACTCATTTCTACCTTGTGCCTTTGCACCTGTTCTTTCTGGGGTGCTGTTCCCCCAGACATCTGGTCCCTCCTCTCCCCTGGGGTCTCAGATCTATCGGTATCTCAACAGGGACGCCTTTCTGCACTACTTTAACATTAGCTCTGCTGTCTAGTCTGGCGGCCACCAGCACTGCTGAGCACTGGGAATGTGGCCAATTATAGAACTGGGTGTTTACCTACATTTTTTTCCAATTAAAATTCAGTAAAAAATGTGTACTCCACTCAGCGGGTGGAAAAGGCTGAGCACGCTTGGACCGACTCTTGCATGCGAATCTACTTTGGACTTTCAGAAACCTGCATCAAGAGTTTCCTGTGGAACCTTACCATTTGAATTGAGATATGATGCTAAAGTGCAAAAGGCACCCTCCTGGTGGGTGTAGTGCACATATGGGACTGCTAACGGGAAGGTCACAAGTTCAAATCTACCAACTGCTCTGTGGGAGAAAGAAGGGTCATGGCCTCCTGTGAAGATTCTAGCAATGGGAACCCAATGGAGGGCTGCCATAGCCAGCACTGACTTAGGAGCAGTGGTTTGGGATTTTAGTTATAAGGGCAAAAGGGAGTTCCTACGTGACAAAGGTGGTTAAATGGAAAGGCTGGTGGTTCAAATACACCCAGGGTTATCTTGGAAAATAGGCTTGGAAATACTACTTCCAAAAGGTCACAGCCTTGGAGCCTTATGGAGCGGCTTCTACTCTGTTTACATGGGATCCCCATTGACTTGATGGACAAGGAACTACAATGACTTACCTACAAAACACACCCTGGAGTAAGACTGAGTATAAGAAAGAATGTAAAATGTTTTTAGAATATTTTTAACCTAAATTATAATAATTATAAATTATAGTAATTTATAATCTAAATTATAATTTTTATAAAAATATTATCTTTTTAACCTAAATTATTTATAACCCAAATTATATTATTATTGAAATAATATTTTGAGTATATTCACATAAACATATCCTTTAATCTGTGCACCTTCACTTTTTAATGGAACTACTAGAAAATACTAGGGAGTTCTGGTGGTGTGGTCTGTAGAGAGGGAGCTCTGGTGGCCGACTGGTAAGGAGCTGTACCCCCAAATAAAAGGCAGGAAGTTTGAATCCAGCAACTGCTCCAAGGAAGCATGATGGATATGTGGTTTATAGCTTCTGAAAACTGGCAGGAGGGTCAGCTATGAGCTGGTTCTGACTTGACAGCAATGACTTTGATTAGAAAACTTTAAATGAGAGGAGCTCTGGTGGCCTAGTGGCAAGGATCTGCAACTACAATCCCAGAGGCGCACAGTTCGAATCCACCAGATGCTCTGCCGGGGAAGGAGGGGCAATCTCCTCCTGTACCAGTCAGATCTGATTTGACGGTACATGCACACAAAAATAATAAAATAAAATAATATTTTTTTAAATCTTTAAAAAAATTTTTTAAAAAATGAAAACTTTAAATGACACACATGGTTTGTGCTGTATTTCATGCATCAGTGCTGGACTCCTGCCCCCACCGAGATTCCCCCTCCCACATCATCTTGCTTTACTTTTCTTTGTGAAAGGGCATCTGAAATCGTCTCTGTTACTTCATGTGTGTGTGTGTGTGTGTGTGTGTGTGCGCGTGCGCCCTCCCTGGTACCCTCTGCCTTGCTGCAGGCATTGGTGTACCTAGAACACTGGCCTTGGGGGAGCCCTGTGGTTCCTCACCGCAGGGAAGGCTGAGAGGCACCACCATTCTCACCTGACTTCTGATGCACAAAGTGATGCTTGACGTGGTGGGCCTTCATGGTGTACAGGAAGGAGCCTCTGTGCGGCGAGCCGAAGTGCAGGTAGTAGTGGATCATGTCGTAGAACACGTACCCCAGGAGGCCCCCGGCGAATATTGAGCCCCCCACCGCCTCGGGCAGGATGAGCCGTAGCAGCCCGTAGAAGGCAGCGATCAGCAGAGATGCTGGTACCGGGGGGAAGACCAGGCGGGAGCCGTCGAAGGGAGCCTGCATGTGGAGAGGGCCCGGGTGCTTCTGTAGTTATGGCCACGGGCCAGAGGCCCCAGTGCAAGATGGGGTGAGGAGATAGAGGCCTGACGCCTTGATGCTTTAAGGGATGATACTATTCTGGACTTTCCAAGGGCAACAGAGGCTTGGGCCCGGAGGCTTGGGACTGGACAGCAGGTCTCCCCAGGGAAACTCATCCATCATGGCAGCATCTCCGCCCCTCCACCATGCTCTCTGCCTGTCCTAGTGTCCCCCAGGGAGCCCCTGGACTTGCCCTTATACCTTCCCTCCCCTCAAACAAGGGTCCTTCTTCCCCCAGAATTATGTTTTTCTGCTGGGTGGAAAGCAGAAAAATGTAACCAATATGATAGCTTACAGGCCACCAGCTGAAATGTGCCCCAAACAAAACCAACCCATCCTCCTTGTGTTGCTAAAAGAAACTGGTGATTTATATATCAGGCTGCTAGCCAAAGGTCAGCAGTTCAAATCCACCTACAGAAGAAAGATGGGCAGCCTCCACCCACAAAGATTTATGGTCACATAAATCTGAGGGCGGAGGGCTCTGACTCCAACTTGGTTTGTGTTTTGGGGTGTGCTGCTGATACTGGACTGAGATTCGGTCTCAGGTTCTCAGCAGCAGCTTAATCCAGTCTCTCTCAGGGTTCAATCAGCTGGTACAGAAGCCCAGGCATCCGCAGGAGGCCAGCTCCAACGGGGGCCGTGCTGAGTGTGGCTTCAGGCAAGCCGCTCATGTGCCCCAAGCCTCAGTTTCTTGCTCTGTGGAATGGGAGGAACTGCAGCACTCTCTTAGTGGGAAGCTCCATGAGGGCAGGAACTTGGTCTGTGTCTAGAACAGGGCCTGGCATAGGGGAGGCCCACACACGCACATGGCCTGGTTGACAGTAAGGAGTTACAGGGACAATCAGAGCCCCTACACACACACACACACACACACACACACACACAGACACACACAGCTTGGTTGACAGTAAGGTGCTGGGCCCCCTACCTCTGACCACTATCACATGCCCCTGGCTCCCCACTGCCCCCACCCCATAACTAGACTCGAGAGGCTGGGCCCCTGAGCTGTCCTGAGCCTCACCTTATGGTGCTGGCCGTGCAGGACGAAGTGCAGCGTGATGAGGTAATAGCTGTCACTGGGGGGCTTCATGTGGAACAGGAAGCGGTGGAGGAGGTACTCAGCCAGGCTCCAGAGGAACATCCCGAGCACAAAGAGGCCTGGGAACATGGACTTCCGCACCGTCACCGAGTATTCTGCGGGGATGAGGGGATGCAGTCAGGGCAAACGGCCCCTGTGCCCATCCAGCCCTGGAGGCCACACTCAGGTCAGCAGTGCTGGGCCAGGCCACACTGTGGGGACCTGGGTCAGAATGCGGAGGAGGCTCTGGGGGAATAATGGAGCCACTGGCCAGAGAGGTGGTGGAATGTTCTGGAAATGTCGGCTAGACTCGTGCCTCTACTTTGGGGCTTACCATTTGTTCCTCAGACTCCTAAACTCTGTCCTCTGCCTCAATCCGCCAGAAAAATGGTGACTGCTCCACCATTCTTGCCAAAGAAATGTCATTTCTTGACGTCCTATTTCCTGTCAAACTGAAGAACTTTTTGAGTCATCTCTAAGCTGGCAGCACTGGTTTGGTGACCTCTTTCTTCCTGAAGCAGCCAACCTTGGGGGTTCTCAGTGTGAGCCTTCTGAGTTAGATTTCAGGGTGTCTTTGAGTCTGCTGAGCTTACACACCATCGTATGCATTTTGGGGGGTAGAGGGCAATACTGCTCGGACTTGAAGGATATGAAGCCCTTGGCTGAGAGCAGCCAGCTCCTTTCCCACCTCAGGAGTCCAGCTTTTCTCCCGTTCACTGACTCTTTTCAGGCTCCATGGTGGGCTTGGTCCTTGGGGGTCTAAGCTCTGTTCCATCCCTGACTTCAACCACACCCTTCACACCCATCACCCCAAGTCTAGACCAGGATGCAGCCCTGGGAAGCCGCTTGGCCTTGGGCATTTCCATGGATTGTTCACCTGCCTCAGACTGGTTGTTCCCTCCACAAAATCAGCACCCTCGTCTTCTGCCCACCTGTCAACCCCAGCTGCTCTCCCTGGTTCCTCTCCTCAGGGAGGGGCACTGGTGTCCACCTAGTTCCCCGAGGAGTCATGCTCAACCCCCCTCACTTCGCTATGCCCAACCTGTCACCTCCAGGGTTGGCTGACTTCTCTTAGCCTGCCTCCAACTCCTGCCAAGGTGACTACCTCAGCCTCCCACTCCCATCCCTGCTCTCCACAGCCTTCCACATGTAGGCCTCAGATGTCCAGACAGCGTCCAGCCCCCCACTGGCCTTGTCCCATTTCCCCGCAGGGCAGGGTGGCCAATCCAAACCACTTGTGGCTCCCTAGATGATGCTTCTCCATCACTGAGATTCCCTCTCCCTTCCTGACCCTTTGGGGTTCAGCTCCAACCAGAATCGACTGCTCGGAGGGGTTTGCTTGGTTGGTTCCTGATGTTCAAAGCACTGTCACACATGTGTTTAGGGTTGTAAGCCTTGAACTTGTGTCTCTGAACAGCTCCCCCTGGTGCCTGGCACCCTGACTCCTGTACAATTTGTTAAGCAGCTGCACAGCCCCCCTAATCTCCCTAACCTTGTTTGTGGATTTTATTTCTCTGCCTGTAGCTCATGTCCTCCCTGAGAGGCTGGGGGATCCAGGGGTCTTGAGGAGGTGTCTCCCTCACCACCATCACTGGCACCAGGAGCTCAGGCCCCTTGATCCTGCAGCTGGGTCTTTATTAGATCAGCACATTACAGCTCTCTGCAGAGGCAGGGAAGTGGGGGGGGGGATGGAGGGGTGGTGCCGCCCCAACCCGTGCATCATCACCCTCCATGCCACTCCCGAAAGTCCCCTCCTATAGGTCAGGTCCCCGCCCGCCCCCTCACCCCAGCATCGGCCCTGCTGGCCCACCCACCGGCTGGAGCTGGTACCGCGTGGCATCTCTGGAGGAATCCGGCAGAGGGACCCAGCAAAGCCCCTGCCTGGCCAGGCCCCTCCCCCGCAGCTCTGTCGGCCTGGCCACTGTTGGTGATTGTTAGGGCCTCGCTGGGGACAGTGGCCGATTCAGCCTTTTGAGCAACAAGCCCTGTGCTGTGCGGGAGCTATTCAGAGTGGGCGGAGAAGGGTAACCTTGGCTCCCTGACGCTCGTGTTAACCCCCAGGGGCCAGACAAGACTCTGTGCTAGGGCAGGAAGGGGTGACTGCACCTCATAACACCACTCCCCATCCTGGGTCCTGCAGGAAAACCAGAACCCCTCCCTGGATAAGAAGGATTGATGCAGTAACTGGGGTAATGGGGCGAGGTGTGTCCGAAACAGTGAGATTGGCTCAGGACAGGACAGAGTTCAGAGCTACTGTGTGGCTATGAGCCACAGGCGACTTGATGGTATACAACAACAACAACAACAACTCTCACCCAAATGTCAGGGAGATGCCTGCAGCTAGAGGGCCTAAGGGCTCAGGGACTCGCAGGCAGGAAGGTGAGGGTGATCAGAAGGGGTAACTTGAGGGACCAGCAGTCTCTTCTTCACGAGGCTAACACCTCTTCAAGCAGGCTGTACTGGGATGGACAGACCACGTGGGCAGGTATTACATACCCGGAGGCCTGATGTTGCCAAGGGAGAGGTCACACCTTCAGGCTTTGCCCCCTCAGGGTACCTGCTCCCTCCTGGCAAGCACGGAAGCTGTGGGGGCACATAGTACCCACATCCCAGTCACAACAACTGGGTCACAATGACTTCTCTGAGGCTCCCTTCCTCATCCTTAAAGGGCAGGCTGAGGATTCCTTTCTCCCAGGTGATGGATGTGAAATGAAAGACTTGTCCCAGGTGAGCAGAGGCTAGACAGGGAGGTGTCAGGGGAGGAGCAGGGGCTGGCGCTCCATGAGGGGTTAGGAAGGAAGCCGGCTTACCTGTGGTGAAGGACGTGAAGAGCCGGACGTTGCCCTGGGCAAGGGTTTGGTAGTAGGACCAGCTGAGGTACAGCATTAGGGGAACCCAGATGATGGGAACGCTGTACCTGAAGTGGGGGAGGGTCACCAGATGAGAGAGATGCACAGTCAGGGTCTGACAGGGCCCAGCCTCCCTACTGGTATGTCTTGGTTTTTTAAAAGTAATTTTATTTTTGGGAATTTCGCTTAAGCGAAAGTTTACAAATCATCTTGTGCTTTCATTCAATCATTCATAAATGTTATAATATTATAAACTGATCATAATTGATTAATTTAAGTAATTAAATGTCTATTATTCCAGGGAGCTCTGGTGGCCTAGTGGCAAGAAGCTGTGCTGAAATCCTGCAGTTCAAGGCCACCAGCTGCTCCTTGGGAGAAAGATGGGCAATCTCCTCCCGTGCGATTAACTGCCTCTGAAAACCTGCTGGAGGGTCAGCTATGGGTCGGTTCTGACTCGATGGTACCCAACAACAATAATACAACTCTTACTCCATATGGCCTCCTTTCCCTTCATTCAATTTATCCACTGATTTTTGCTTCCCTCTCCCTCCCATCTCATCCTTGTTAACCTTCTAAGATTGATTCTGTGTGTGAACCCTTCTTTAGCTTTTTATATAGTGTGTCTTATAATACTGTAATTATCCTTTTGGGACTAATTTGTGTCACTCAGCACACTTTGATCTAGAGTCATTCATGTTGTCCTATATTTCACAAATTTTTAATCTTTTGTTCTTGTTAGGTGCCATCGAATCAAGTACGACTTATAGTGACCCTATGAACAAAACTGAACCCTGCCCTAGTCTGTGCCGTCTTCATCATCTCTGATATACTTGAGCCCACTGCTAAGGTCACTGTGCCAATCTTCCTCCCTGACGATCTTCCCTTCTTTTGCTGACACTCTGTTCTTCCAAGCTTAACATCTGTTTCCAAAGACTCACCTCTCCGCACAACATGCCCTAAGTACGTAAGATGAAACTTTGCTATTCTCACCTGTAAAGAGCATCCTGGTTGCACTTCCTCCAACACATACTTATTTTCTTGGCTGTCCATGGGATATTCAGTACTCTTCTCCGACTCCACAGCTCAAAGGCATCAATAATTCTTCTCTCATCCTTATTAATTGTTCAACTTACAGATGCATAGGAAGTAGTTGAAAAGACCATGGTTTGGCTCAGGTTCACTTTAGTCTTTATATTAACATCATTGCTTCTTAGCATTTTGGAGAGGTCCAACGATGCTGACTGTGGATCCAAACAAGATGGAATTGTTGACAACATCAATCTTTTCTCTCTATCATGATTTTGCCTATTGGCCCAGTGGTGAAGATTTATTTTCTTTTTTTAAATTTTTTCTTTTTTATTATTACTATTATTTTTTGTGTGAGTGTACCGTCAAATCAGATCTGACTGGTACAGGAGATTGTCCCTCCTTCCCCGGCAGAGCATCTGGTGGATTTGAACTGTGAGCCTCTAGGATTGCAGTGCAGCTTCTTGCCACGAGGCCACCAGAGCTCCCCGATTTTTGTTTTCTTGATGTTGAGATGTAATCCATATTGAAGGCTGTAGTCTTTGACCGTCTGCAGCAAGGGTTTCAAGTTCTTTTTACTTTCGGCAAGAAAGACTGTGTCATCTGCGTAACAAACGTGGATGAGTCTCCTAATCCTGATGCCACATTCCTCTCCGTAAAATCTAGCTTCTTTAATGATTTTCTCAGCATATAGAATGAACAGGTATGGAGAAAGGAAACAGCCCAGATACACACCTTTCTTGATTTTAAACCATACAGTACAACAGCTTCTTAGTCTAGTTTCACATCAACACAGTTAAGTGTTCTGGGATCCTTATTCTTCTTAAAGTGTGCCACAGTTTGTTATGATATACACAGTCAAATTCCTTTGCATTATTAATAAAACACAAGCTGACATTCTTTTGGTATTCTCTGCTTTCAGTCAAGATCCATCAGACATCAGCAATGATATGCCCGATGCTATGATCTCTTCTAAATTCAGCGTGGACTCAGGCAGTTCTCTCTTAATGTACTGTTCTAGCTGTTCTTGGATAATTTTCAGCAACATTTTACTTGCATGTTATATTAACTATATTGTTTAATAATTTCCATTTCCACATTCTGTTGGACCACTTTTCTTTGAAGTGAGAACAAATATATAGGTCTCTTCCAGTAAGCTGACCAGGTAGCTGTCTTCTAAATTTCCTGGCACTGACTGGATCATTGTTTAGTGATACATAATACTTCTCTGTGTGACTGTACCAGAGTTTCCTTAGTCATCATTTATTGATGAATACACGGGTTATTTCCAACTCTTTGCTATTGTAAATAATGCCGCAAGGGGCATGGGTGTGAATATGTCAGTTTGTGTACCAGCTCTTATTTCTTTAGGATACATACCTAGTAATAGGATTGTTGAATCAAATAATACTTCTGTTTCCAACTTTCTAAAGACACACCAAACTGCTTTCCATAGTTATTGCACCACTTTACATTCCCACCAACATTGTCTCAGTGTTCCAATCTCTCCACACCACGACCAGCATTTGTTGTGTAATGTCTTATTAAACATTGCTCTTTTTGCTCTGGTGAGATGATATTTCATTGTTGTCTGGACGTGCATTTCCATGATAGCTAATAATCTTCAGCACTTCTTCATGTGTTTGCTGGCTATCTGAATGTCTTCTTGCTGAAGTCTCTCTGTACATGTCCTCTGGCCATTTTGTCATTTTTTCTATTTGTTTCTTGTTGAAGTGTTGGAGTTTTCTGTACATTTGAGAGGTGAGTCCCTTGTCAGATATATCATTGCCACATACTTGGTTTGTTTTTTTTTTTTCACTCTGCAGGTTCTCTCTGCATTTTTTTTGAGAAGTCTTTGATGTATTTAAGGATTTAATTTTTAGGCGGTGACTTGCTTCCTAATTAGAGGGACTCTAGATGACTCACGTTGGACAATGAATAAGGATGACAGAAGAGTTATTGATGCCTTTGAGGTGTAGTGTAGAAGAGTGCTGAGTCCCATGGACTGCCAAGAGAAAAAATAAGTATGTCTTGGAAAAAGTGCAAGCTGGATGCTCCTTGGAGGTGAGGATGACATGGCTTTGTCTCACCTTCTTTGGGCATGTTATTAGGGGGCCAGTACTTGGAAAAGGACATCATTTGGAAGGGTGGAAGGTCAATGAAAGGAGGGAGAATGACACAGTGGCTGTTAACAATGGGCTAAAATATACCAAAGACGGTGAAGATGGCACAGGATAGTGGAGAGTTCAGGTTTATTGTTCAGAGGGCCCCTGAGTCATACTTGACTCAACAGGACCTAACGATGACAACAACAACAGATGATCCCTAGAGTCAAGATGAGACCTAATGATGACAACAACAACAGATGATCCCTAGAGTCAAGATGATGCCAAAACATCTAGTGTGTGAGAGAAGGAAAGAACAGAGACTGCAAATACATTTGCCCCTATCTCTGTGATGAGCTGATAGAAAGGAATTGTGTCCACAAGGTAGCTGAACAGACACTGACTTCTTATGGCAGAGGCACCAACTGCAACCAGGATTGTTCCCATTTGGTACTGTTGTTAGCTGAGTCTGTTCGAACTTGTGATACCCATCATGTAGAGAGTAGAACTACTACATAGGGTTTTCAAGGCTGTGACCTTTCCAAAGCAGATTTCCAGGTCTTACTTATGAGATGCCTCTGGTGGATTTGAACTGCCATTCTTTCAGCTATTAATTCAATGGTTAACCATTTACATCACCCAGGAACTCCTCATGGGCTGAAAAGAGACCCAGGATACCATCCGAAGCAGTTTCTGGTTACATGTTCAGTTGTTACCCACTTAGTCGTCAAAAGCATGCTGGGGGTAGAGTACACATAAGATATACCTCATCTTCTGCAAGAGCTGCTAGCACAGCCCTGGGTTCTGGGGGGACCTCAACTGCCTCTTCCCTTTTCATATCTGGTTGACACCATCAATAGAAAGTGACAGCCCAGGATGGGCTCACAGCAGGCTCACCAGACGGTCTTGGAGAGGGATTCGATGAAGTCTGAGTGAAAGAGGCGGATGGGTCTGATCACTGGCTGGTGTACCCATTCATCATACTTCTCTCCCAAGTGACCCACTTGCCACAGTAGGGGTTTCTTCCAGTCCACCAAGTCCTGCAAGAGACAAGGAAGAATGGGAACTAAACACTCACAACTGCTCACATTCCTTCTCCCAGCTCTTGATGGCAGAATCTCAATGTCCTCTCAGTCATGTGGTTCGTGAGGGTCTACTCAACCTTCTGCAGCCATGGCACAAGACTGCCCAAGCCATTTGTCCCAGCCCCTTGGACACAGCAATGAAGCCTATGACAGTTCCATGACTGCGGGAAGCCAAATATCAAGCTAAATATTAATAATTAACCAAATGCTGTATCAGGATAGGTGGGAGGCATAAATGCAAGCTGGAATTCTCCCTGAGACAGGTCACAGGGGTCAAGCACCCAGGCATACCTAAGGCATCTTCACAATTCTTGGATTGTATTATCTCCCTCTTGAGATAAGCATAAGGTTGACAATAGAGAAAAACTCAGCTTCCTTTGCAAATGATTTTTCTTTGTGATTTATTTCCCAGTCATTCTCAATAAAGCCACAGAAAGGCATGGCTTGAGGGCTTCAGTTTTTCAAGCTGTTTGCCCCCTGCTTTTACACTCTGTTTTCTCCTCCATTCTTAGTGTCCCATTTCTTTCTTTATTCTTTCTCCTTGGCCAACAACATTTTGGCGCCCAAACAGGGACTTGCAGAGGTGGTAGTTAGTCGTACTCTCTCTCACTTTCTTGCAGACACCAGTAAACCAAAAGAAAATTCACCCGAGAAAAAGGAAACTTTCAGGAAAATTGAAGGTAGGATCATGAAGAAATCCTCAAACTCTGAATTTTGCTATTTGATGAGGTTTTTTTCACCCCTTGAATTTTTTATATAAATTCAAGGGTAGAGATAGAAAAGCTTTAATGAAAATTTTCTGAAGTTTAATCGATTGCTTGAAAAGCTCAGAGGTAGAAGTGAAAAGAAAGAAAAAAGAGCCATGGGGAACAGGTCATCCTCTGAAGCTCAGTTTATTACATTCATTAAAGAATTACTTATGAGCTCAGGGGTAAGACATTAAAAAAAACTTGAGAAAATATTTTGTGAGTTTTACAAAGAGCACATCAAAAAAGAGAACAGACTCCTATTAATTTGTGACCAGTAAGGGCTTTGACAAGAATAGTAAAAATGTCTGTGAAGGATTATACTTATAATCCAAAAAATTTGCAAACAAAGATGGCTCAATCTTTGCACGGATCTGAATTAAGAGAGATTCATTACATTAAAGGAGGTTAAATCTGAAGGCAGGAAACAGACTTTGTCACCTTTAGAAAGAGCTTATCAAAAGGGATATGTGATTCCTGTTTTGGTCACTATGTAATTTGATTTCATTAGCTTTAAAACCATTACAGTCTGAAAAGAAGATGTCTGAAAAGTTAGAAAAGAAACCCTCATCAGATGAAGATGATAGTGAATCAGATACAAAGGAGGATGAATTTCCTCTGCCTCCAACTCCGGAGGAAATAAACAATATAACCATGGAGGATAGTCCTTATGAGGAATTACGTACACAAGTTTTAGAAATTGCTAGTAAAATAGACAAATTGGGTTTTCATAATGAATTCTATTACCAAAATAAAAATATAGCCCCAGCAGCAGCAGCAGCAGCAGCAGTTCCAGATTCTATGTTATTTAGTGATATGAATCGTGCTTTGTTGGGAGTAATTACATTAAGCCGTTAACAACTATGTTGATGGTCTTACAACAGGCAAAACAAGATCCAGAGAGGTGCAAGCCTGTGCTTCAGCAGTGTGGCTCCCTGCAGACTGCCACCAGCACTGCCGTGACTGGCAGTGATGACTTAAATCTCTCGCCTTTTGTTTACCAGCCCCAGATGTAGCCACTCCACCATTGCAGCTCCTTAACATAATTTTCGCCAGCCTTCGAGTTAGAACCCACGCACAGCTGACCCTCCACTGCATTCCCAGGTTATAAACTGCATGAGAGGAGACTGCCTCTCTCCATGGAGCCACTGGTGGATTTGAACCACCAGAGAGGTGTGGGTTTTGGGCAAATCCCTATGGACTACTTCACCAGAGTGTCCTCAAAATTCATGTGTTTAGTAGATGTTTACGTTTGTAATGTTAAGATGTTCCTTTTGAAATTATATATATACATATGTTGTTGATGGCCTTTGAGTCTAGCATGACTCATAGCAACCCTATGAACCAAAGGCCTGAAGCTCCTCTACAACTATCAATATTTATCAAGTTCATAGAGTTACCGGAGGCATGTTATTTAGGAAGTGGATGCCACTTCTGCTTCCAAAATTACATGCAAAACACTACCTTTTAACTCTTCAGTTGCTTTTCTAATATTTACAATGTGTACCTTGCTACTTTCTCTTTTGTTTATACAGTGATGCTGTTGATTTCAGAATGATCATTCTGTTATAAATAATACTACAAATATTTTTTTTGGCCCCAATAATTTGTTATTTTATTCAAATAAATGAAGAAGAGCTCTAAAAAAAAAAAGATGATTTATCTAATTGTGGAAAAGGAGCTTCTGTTTTTCCAGTAACAGTTTAGGATATGTGTCCTTATCAAGATTTTCCCCAAGGGTATCAATTATATCAACATCAGTTGTTATCTTCAAAGACTATTAAAGAATTAAAGCAAGCCATAGTTAACTTATGGTATGCATTCTACCTATGTAAGGGACATATTACAAGGATTAACTACAGAAATTATATTAATTCCTTATGATTGGGAATCCATGGTCAGGACAGTTTTGGAATCTGGGCCATATATACAGTTTAGAACTTGGTGGGCTGATGAAGCTACAAGTATAGAAAGGATTTCTTTATCTAGAAATCTTCCTCTTAATGTTACTACTGATCAATTGTTGGGGAAAGGTCAATGGTTTGGAGTGTGAGCTCAGTTACAGTATGATGCTGCTGTGATTGTACAAGATAAACTTTGTTGTATGCAAGCATGGGATAAAGTAGAAATTTTGGGGAAGGGAGATCAATCCTTTATCAGAACAACACAATCTAAAAATGAAAAACATACTGATATTCTATCCAGATTAAAGGATGCTAGTAGGAGTGGCATCTACTTTCTAAATAACATGCCTCTGGAAACTCTATGAACTTTGATAAATGTCGATAGTTGTAGAGGGGCTTCAGGCCTTTTGTTCATAGAGTCGCTATGAGTCCTGTTCAACTCAAAGACAATCAAGAACAACAACAATTAATAGAGTAATATCTCAACCCAAGGCCCATGAGTTTTTGTTAAAAACTTTAGCATATGAAAACACTAATTCACACCACAAGATAAACCCAATTGCAAAATTAGCACCAGATATGAATAGGCACTTCACAAAAGAAGACATTCAGATGGCAAACATACACATGAAAAAATGTTCAAAATCCCTAGCTCTAAGAGAGATGCAAATAAAAACAACTATGAGCTATCATCTCACCCCAGTAAGAATAGTAAAATTCAACAGAGCAGAAAATAACAAATGCTGGCAAGGTTGTGGAAAAACTGGAACCCTTATTCACTGTTGGTGGGAGTATAAAATGGTGCAACCACTGTGGAAGGCAGTATGGCGCTTTCTCAAAAAGTTGGAAATATCATTTGACCCAGCAATTCCACTACTGGGAATATACCCTAAAGAAACCAGAACTTGTCACCAAGCAGATATACACACACCCATGTTTACTGTGGCTTTGTTCGCAATAGCAAAGAGTTGGAAACAGCCCAAGTGCCCATCAACAAACTAATGGATAGAGAAGCTGTGGTATAGTCACACAATGGAACATTATGCAGCACTGAAAAACAAAGAACTCATGAAATATTTTGCAAAATGGGTGACCCTGGAGGACATTATGCTGAGTGAAAGATCTCAATCACAAAGACAAATACTGAATAATACCACTCTTATAGAACAGAACTGATATGGGGGTTGAGGGGAAACTAAGAAAAGAGGGGATAAATAAAATACATGGATGGCATTGAAACAGATGAGGGAGACACCTATATTAAAGGAACATATGATTAGGTATTTGGCATGACAAGAGTCCAGACTAAGAGTTGCATAGTAAAGTGGACTGAGGGGTGGAGGGGCAGGAGACTGTATAACAATGAAAGAACTTTTTTTCCAAAGAAAAAAGTGAACTAGGGGGGAGGAGGGACAGGGAGAAAAATGTGCAATAATGAATGAATGGAAATTCAAGTTTTTAATAAACATTCATTAAAATAAAAAAAAAACAAAACATGCCTTCAGGGTTTTGTGGAAAACAGGGAAAAGGGTATCACTGGACTAAGGAATGTTTATTTGATAAGTGGAGAGCAACATTACAAATTCCTACATATCAACTCAGGCAAAAAAATATGATGCTGTGTATGAATTACATTCCAGGAAAAGGATTAGGGGAAAAGAAACAGGATTGTTAGTTTTTAAAAAGCCTAAATCTTTTAAGAAAAGGAGTAGGATACCCACATTTATAATGAGGGTCACTGCTCCTCAGTATGCTCTCCCCTTAACTTGGCCAACAGAAAAACCAATCTGGGTGGAGTAGTGGCCCCTAATTAGAGAGAAATTAGAAGGGTTTTTTTTTTAAAAAATTAGAAGTTTTAGTATGATCAATTCAGAATAATATTTAACAGGTCATATTAAACTAATCCTTGGAACTCTCCAGTGTTTGTAATAGAAAAGGAAGTCAGGTAAATGGACTTATTGGATACTAAAGTAAAACCTTGATCTTTGCAAGCATGCAGGTTATACTAAATTGCTAAAGGTCTTTTTTAAAAAAAATATTTTACTTTATTATTTTGTGTGTGTGTACCGTCAAATCGGATCTGACAGGTGCAGGAGGAGATTGCCCCTCCTTCTCCAGCAAAGCATCTGGTGGATCCAAAACGTATTCCTCTGGGATTGCAATGCAGCTTCTTTCCACTAGGCCACCAGAGCTCCCTTCTAAATTGGTAAAGGTAATAAAGTGGTTAAAACTAACTTGACTTCTGTTCAACAAGCTGAATTAATATGCTATTATTAATCTTGTTGCAAGATAAAAAACTTTCCTT